ATCAAGATATACTCAAGATATCACGAAGTAGTCCGATCTCATTTCGTGAAATAGCCGAAACAAGCAGAAAAGTCACGAACGTGCACGCCCAATCTTGTCCCGATACTGGTGCATCATTTCATAACTATTTTTCATAGCTCGAACTACCCTGGGTCGCAGTAGCGCAATCGGCTAATCCTCAACTTAGAGCCTCCCCTGATCTGACGGGTCACACAGGTGAGTCGGTTCAAACCCATGGAAAGCCAAAATAATAATTCTTTCTTCCTCGAAAAAGTTTAAGAATAAATCAAAAGAAATCGAAGTGAGATATCTCGAACTAATTGGCTCTCAATCACAATAGCGAGTCTCTACCGACAATAGAAACAGATCCCCCCTCGGAACAATCTCAATATCCAGAAGATGCCTCAATTCCTTTATCAAACAGTTTCTCAGGTCTGATGGATGACGATCCAGGTGACGGCGATATCCACACGGCTTCACCTTCGCATTCACCTAATGATGTCCGTCACGCCACTCAGGAAATCCTCACCAGGAAAGAAAACGAAAAATCCCAAACAAATCGCCCTCCTCAGCATGAGAACAACCAGTCCACCATCAATTCAATCATCATGCTAATTGACTCTAATGGCAAATACATTGATTGTGAGCGCTTCAGTCCGAGAACCCCTACCCACCAATATTTCACACCAACTATTACATCAGCCACTGATCTTCTTACAACAAATGATCTCGGCAATCCAAGCCACATCATCATACACACTGGCACAAATGATTTAGAAAAACTGCGCACTTCACAATGCATTAGTAACTACCATGAACTACTCAAACTTGTTCCTGAGAAACACTCATCGTCAAAAGTTATCGTCTCATCGCTCCTCATCCGCGCAGACGGTATCGATAAACAAAGGCAAGAATTTAATACAAAACTTGGACATGTCTGTGCCCCATACCCAAATGTCCATCTAGTGAATAACGACAATATGACTGTTGCAAATCTTTACGACAGCAAACATCTAAAACGCAAGCGAATTGGCCTCCTAGTGACAAACTTGAAGGACACTGTTTTCAACAGACTTAGGAGAATCCAATCAAGGAACTTACCATCTAACCTCAACACTCGAGTACTAGACCTACCACCATCACCGACGAGCAGAATGTTATCAACGCCTGGTCAACGAGAGTTTCTCCCTCGAGTTCCTGTCCCTGGAAACAACCACCTTGGCCTGGGTGGAAAACCCCTTTACTTGTCGGTGGTGAAACGTAACGCCACAAATCCGCCGCCACTGAACATTGAAACTGTATTAAATTTACTAAACCTTTATGAAACAATGCGTCAAAATTAAGGTATTTACGGTTAATTACTTTATTTTACATATATCAACATATTATACTATTATTATTATATTATATTATATTATTATTATTATTTTTTATCTATTATTTTTATTTTATTTTATTTTTTTTTTTGAAAGCTTTGATCTCCTTTATTTTGAGCGTACACCCCATCATGATACCCTGATTTGGAAATGTGTTTCAGCGGTTGCCGTTCGCCTTTAGGTGTAAGTCGTAATCAATACTTAGTCTTAGCTGCTGGAACGTTCATGGGTTAACTGATCGTTTAAGATTTGGGAACAAATTAACAAATGAAGAATTCATCAATCATATAAATAAACATGACATTATAATTTTAACTGAATCTTGGATGAAAGATGACGTGCAAATTCCTGGCTTTAACACTTTTTCAAACGCAGCCCAAAAAACTTACAAAAAGAAAACTGGAAGACTTTCAGGGGGTTTAGTCCTAGGGTACAAGAATAATTTACGAAATGGCATTTCATTTGTTAAATCACATAATAATTATATCTGGTGTAAACTAACTCATACGTTTTTTAATTTAGAACAAGATGTTTAACTATGTGCCCTCTATATTCCTCCCCACGACTCACCATATTTTGACCCAGATTTATTCGCCAACATTGAAAGAGATATAGCTTTATTTCATAGAAAAGGTTTAATTGTGTTAGCCGGTGACTTTAATGCTAGAACTGGAAAAGAAAATGATTTTATCACGGATGAAAGTGGCAAGTTTATACCTGGCGGAGACATTCCTCCACCACCCAATCTCACTAAAAGACAGAACTTTGATAACATTGTCAACGATCATGGAAAACAATTACTTGATCTTTGTAAAACCTGTGATCTAAGGATTCTAAACGGCCGATCTAAGGGAGATACCCTAGGAAAATTCACATTTCACTCTATTAATGGAATAAGTACTGTGGATTATATTATCGTTAGCCATGACCTGTTCACTTCGGTTCAAGGTTTCGCCGTAAAGCAACCAAACATATTTTCAGATCACTCTCAAATTGTCTGCTGGATTAAAACTGGTACAGACCTCTCAAATAATAATAACAGTTTTCAAGAGAAAAACAACGTTAAGCTTCCACAACAGTATGTCTGGGACGAAACGTCTGCAGCACAATTCACTGCTGCCTTTCGTTCCAACGATATTCTGTCTTTATTACATCTCTTCGAAATTACAAACTTCGATTTAAGCAGTACAGATGTTGAAAATGCTACCAATCAATTCACAAACATTATGACTGAGGCAGCAAAACGTTCACTCAAATTAAGTAGCCAAAAGAAATCTAAAAGAAAGCCAATTACTTAGAAGTGGTTTGATTATGATTGCAAAACTTTAAGATCTTCACGTAAAAAGTTATCTAACAAAAAACACCGCAATCCTCTGGATACCGAACTCAGAAAAGAATATCATGTTCAAAATAAAACCTTTAAAAAACTTATAAAACAAAAAAAAACAACAATTTGTTGACTCTAAAATAAAAATGAGCTGATTAGTAACGAAAATAACCGCAAATTTTGGGATACTCTAAAGTCAATGAACGAAAACAACTTGTCTTATAATAATAACGAAAACCCGACCAATAAACTTTATGATCATTTTAAAATTCTACACTCAGCACCTGATCCTAAAACATTATCGGGATTTCAAATACACATGTTAAACGATAAAAAGCGTTTGGAGGACAGCAACCATTTACAATCGGAATTAGACAACCCAATATCCATTGAAGAGATTGATAAAGCAATTAAAAAACTAAAAAACAAGAAGGCTGCTGGACTTGATGGAATACGCAATGAAATGATTAAAACAAGCTCAAGCTTTATAAAATATCCACTTGAGAAACTTTTTAATCTGATTCTACAATCTGGAACATTTCCTACATCATGGAGTAATGGAATAATCACTGCCTTGCATAAATCTGGAAACAAAGATGACCCTTCAAATTACTATTTGCATTAGTAGTAGTCTTGGCAAAGTCTTTTGTTCTATTTTAAATACGAGATTATTAAACTTTTCAAACAATCATAAAATACTTCATCGCTCCCAAATTGGCTTTGTGCCCGGACATCGTGCGTCTGAGCATATCTTCAGTTTAAGAACATTAATAGACCGATATGTTACCCACTCCCACAGAGGCAAACTTTATACTTGTTTTGTTGATTTTAAAAAGGCATCTGACTCAATTTGGCACCAAGGTTTACTATACAAACTGTTGAAATATAACATAGGTGGCTCCTTTTACAAAATAATTTCCAGCATATATTCAAATTCAAAATGTTGTGTGAAAGACAATTATACTCGATCAGAATTTTTCAACTATGATAAAGGTGTACGACAAGGCTGTATTCTGTCGCCGCTTCTATTTAACCTTTATCTAAACGAACTAGCCTTCATTCTAAATAACAATGCTAAAGATTCTATCTTACTACCAGATGGTTCTCACTTAAACTGTCTACTTTATGCCGATGATTTACTTCTAATATCTACCTCGGCAGAAGGTTTGCAACAAAGTCTTGACAGACTATCAAAATATTGTCAGGATTGGCTTCTTAAGATTAATCCAACTAAAACCAAAGTTATTGTCTTTCAGAAGAAAAGAAGAAAATCAGCAATAGATAAACACAATTTTATGGTTAGCAATGAAAACATTGAAATCGTCAATAACTATACCTGTCTTGGAGTAAAATTTTTTGCCAATGGAAATTTTACAAATCACAAGGAAAACTTAACCGAAAAAACAAAGCCGCTCGTCGTTATCTAGATTTTCTAAAATTACCAATTCACATCATCAACAAACTGTTCAATACACTATTTTCCCAATTTTAACGTATTGCTCTGAAGTTTGGGGAATCTATGATAAAAGTGATTATAGCCGCTGGGATAAAGACTTGATTGAGAAAACGCATATACATTTTTGTAAGATGTGTTTAGGTTTAAACAAACGTTCACCGAATGTTGCATCGAGAAATGAACTTGGTAGATTATCTCTAAATTTACAAATAACGATGAACATTTTCAAATTTTGGATTCACGTACCACGAAAATCAACCCCCTGACAGCATCGCTAAACTCTGCTTAAACATATCGGATAAAATGGCCGAAGAAAATAAATCAGGTCTAATAAATAAAATAAATCTTTTGAGTACACAACTTAATATTCATAAACAGTCAGTTAACTTTAAAAACCCTTCTACTTTCCTATCTAAAGCTGAGAATAATTTGTCAAAACATCTGAAAAACCACCAGCTAAATTTGATAAGAACAAATAAAAAACTAAAATTCTACTCCATCTTTAAAAATGAAACAAATCACTCTGAATTCATCAATCATATCCGGAATCCTGAACATAGGCGTGTAGCTTCCAAATTTAGGATAGGAAATCATAATTTAAAAATAGAAAATGGAAGATGTACAATCCCCAAAACTCCTGAAGACCTTAGAATCTGTGATCATTGCAACTAAAATTTGGTTGAAAATGAACTTCACATATTATTTCAGTGTGATCAATACAATGATTTGAGAAAGACTCTTTCTTTCACATAACCCCCTGTAACCTCTTGTAACCCTTGTAACCCCATGTAACCACCTGTAACCCCTTGTGGTACGTCATGCTGGTACTGGCATCCAGCACCCGTTTGTCTTGGACCATGCAGTAGGTCTTGCGTTGCGGCACGGAATGGAGCGTCTTGTCGGTGACGTTCCGTACGATGTGATGGGGGTTGTCGACGGACAGCGTTCTGGGACGATCCAGAGGCTCGTTCATGTCTAGTTGCACCAGGCTTCGGACGCTCTCGAAGTTCAGGACGGCTTGTCCCCGGGCGTCGAGGGTGAAACCGCGCACGTTGCAGCATTCTTGTCCCGAACGGGTGCGGTAGGCGTAATTTTTGGTTCCGCCGGCCACGAATTCGTTGATGACGTCGCCTTTCAGTTCGTCCTTGAATTGGCCCAGGAAACGTCCTCGCGGCAGATGGGTCTCGCCTTGGGTGGCCAGGTACACCACGGAATCCGTGTCCATGTACAGGACGCGGGTGTGCAGGGGGAGCAGTCCGTCGTGATACAGTTTGACGCGCGCGTGGGCGGTGGTGAAAGCGGCCACGAAGATGTTGGTGTTGGTGCCCAGTTCGCCCACGTCTTCCTTGAACGAGTGGTACACGTCGATCATCTGTTCGCCGGCGGGCAGGATGCGATGGATGTCGCGTTTGCCGTCGAGAAAGATGTCGAAGAAGCTCTCGGGGTCCTTGCAGGTGGTCACCTGGGTCTTGTTGGTGCGTTGGCCGAATTTGCCCCAGAAACTGTTGGCCATCAATTTGCCCAACGTGCGTCGACCCTCGTTGCGTTCGATCTTGGCCGGGTCGAGGATCACCCCTTCGACGCTTCGAAACTCTTCCAGGTACTCGATCTGCAAGGCGGGATCTTTTTCCACCTCGGGCGAGGGCCGGCCGTCGGCTTCCTGTTTCACTTTGATCCAGGTATTGATGTAATCCCTGAACAGGGTGGTGGAGGTCTGACGAAAGTGCCACAGTTCGTAGATGTGGAGGAGCACGTACCCTTGGTCCAGGGCCGGGACCAATTCGGGTGTGCACCAGGTCCCCACGAAGGCTCGTTCGCGAGGGGTGTGGTCGCAGACGTGGGTGCGTTCCGTCCAGGGCAGGGGCACTTGGTCTTGGTCTCTTGGCCGGGTCGAGGATCACCCCTTCGACGCTTCGAAACTCTTCCAGGTACTCGATCTGCAAGGCGGGATCTTTTTCCACCTCGGGCGAGGGCCGGCCGTCGGCTTCCTGTTTCACTTTGATCCAGGTATTGATGTAATCCCTGAACAGGGTGGTGGAGGTCTGACGAAAGTGCCACAGTTCGTAGATGTGGAGGAGCACGTACCCTTGGTCCAGGGCCGGGACCAATTCGGGTGTGCACCAGGTCCCCACGAAGGCTCGTTCGCGAGGGGTGTGGTCGCAGACGTGGGTGCGTTCCGTCCAGGGCAGGGGCACTTGGTCTCGGGCGCATTGGACGCACAGGGGAAACAACAACTTGCCGGCCACGCGGACGGGCAGCACGGGATGAAACAGGTAGTGAGGCGGCAGGACGCGGCATTGGACCAACCCGTACGATTGCTGGCGCACCAGTCGGTCCCAGTCTTCGGGGGTCTGGCAGGTAAACTGCGTGTGAATGACGGGATGACCCACGGGGTACTTGCAGTTCTTATTGACCCACGGGTACAGGGACGTGAAATCGTCGTAGAAGATGTGTTGGTCCGGCTGGGCCTGACAGTGGGCTCGCACGGCTTCGGTCCGTCCGCCGAAGAAGGCCTCGCGGGGATCCAGGGGCGTCACCAGATCCAGGGTCTCGGCCCACAGGCGCAACTCGGGATCCTCCCTCTTTTGGGCGTCTCATTCGCACTCCCACTTTTCGACCACCACGTGACCGCCTTGACGAATATGCTCGGCCCGTTGGACCGTGCGCGTGTACAGTTCGTGGGGCGTGGCCCCGTCGAGTTTGGCGTGCCGCTGGTGTCGTTGAGGAAAACATTCGGGGCACCCGTGGTAGAAACACCCGTAGAATTCGTACACGAACCCGGTGCGCGGATCGTAGCCGTCCGCGTGGTAGCGATGCTCGCCGATCCGGAACAGCACTTCGCCTCCGTTACGGCTGTGGCGTAGGCGCGGTTCACCGTCCGTGGGTGGGGGCAGGATCCGTTCCAGGTGGTACAACCATTCCAAGGCAACTCTCGATTGACGGATCTGCGGATGCCAGCCGTGCAGGGGTTCGACGGCCAGGGTTCGGGGCCACATCCAATGGCGACGGTAGGCCACGTTGCACGCCGAGGCGATGGTGATGCATTGTTCGAAGGGGTCGAACCCGCAAATGCCCCTGAATTCGCGCTCGAAGAGGGTACACGCCTGTTTCAGGATCCGGACGTCGGATTGGCAGTATTTCAACAGTTTGGCTTGCAGGTTGAACACGCGATTGGACGCCACTTGCTCCGCGTACCATCGTTCGAAGTCGGCGCGACGAGCCGGTTTCATGCCGTCGGGATCGTAATACTGTCGGGCCGGCATGGCCCCCACGTACTGCTGCAAGGTGGGCACGTTAAAGAAGTGGGGAAAGAACCCCTTGGCTTCTTCCCGCAAGCCGAAGGTCTAAGGGAACGAGGCCAGGGCCATGGGAAAAAAGTTCAAACTGTCGATGAACTTGATGCCCCCGGGAATGGCGACGCTCAGGAGTTTGGCCCCGTTGACGATCTGCGAAGGCACCACCGCTTGTCGGTACAGTTCCTCGAGCAACAGGTAACCGTCGTAGCCTTGGAAATTATGCGCGATCAGCACAAACGGGCGGCGTCCGGGGTCCGTCACTCTCAGGTGCCACACCCAGGTCATGAAGTCTTGCATGGACGGGAACTGGTAGCGTTGGTCGTTCAGACTGGTTTCGGCGCACACCAGGTTCACGCGATGCGCCTCCCCGCCTTCCTGCATGCACTCGCAATCGAAAAAGATTTTGACGACGGCCTGCTCCTCGGGCACGGGTCCCGGCTGGTCGGCGGCGGCGGCGGTGCTGCTGGTGGGGTGTTTTCGTTTGGGGACTCGACGATTGGGCACGTTCTGGATGAAACATTTGTGGTCCCACACGTCCACCGTGTGCCCGCAATTGTAGCACGGTTGATAGCCGCACACGTGACTGAGAAAGGCCTGATAGCTCTTGAAGGTGCGTCCGCAATGCCCGCAACACCGTAGTTGGGCACACACGTTGTCGAAGGTCAGCGGGTGGACTCTTTGGCCGCTGGGAGAACGGATGGTGTGCAGTTCGAGGCACCGAGGGCCAAAGAAACGGCGATGGCAATGGGGGCACAGTTCGGTGGCGGCGTCTCGGACAGGGTGGGTGGCAAAGTCCGAGCAGTCCGTTTGTTGGCAACAGTAACACTTGAAACCGGGACACGGATGATGCCGAAAGTCCCGGGTCTTGTACCCCTTGCGGCACCGTAAGCAAAAGTAGTTCACACCAAAATACGCGTTCAATTTGGTGATGACGTCGTAATGTCCCTGGTGGGCCAAGAGATGAGTTGGTGCAGGGCGGTCGGGCCGCAATGCACGATGGCATTCCCGTGATCGGCCGAGACCACGATCACTTGGTAATCGGGCAACACTTTTTCGAAGTCGCGTATTTCGGGCAACCCGCAAGGCCCTTCGGGCACTTTGGCCAATCGATGCAATTCGCGGGCTTTGGTCTTTTGGAGATCCCGCCCCTGCCGGATGGTCGTGTACTTGCTCATCTGAAGACTACTTTGATCTTTGTGTTGGTAGGCTCTGGCCGTCACCAGGGCCCGTGCGCAGCAGAGATCGTCCTTGTTGGTGATCTCGACACAACTGTTTTTGCTCTTGACCATATTGACGAAGGCGTCGGACCCGAGTTTACGACGGCCCGTGCCGCGCGGTGGGCGCACGTAGGTCAAGTCCACCACGAAGGTATCGTCTACCGCAAAGTCCTCGTTGGAGTTCAAGAGGGCCGTCATCTGTTCGAGCAGATGCCGCGCGGGCCCTTGCGTGTGTCGCCAATCTCCCACCCGTACGCGGGCACTGGGAAAATTATTGGCCAAGCGGTTGGATCCCAGGTAGATCTGCAAATAATTGTCGTCGTGCCACGGGTGCGATTGCTCTCGGATGGCTTGTCCCAGGGCGCGAATCACTTCCTCCGAGGCGTCGCCCGAGCTGGGTTGTGCTTGCAACTGTCCCCGGAACGTTTGCCAGGTGACGCCGAACGAGGGACGGTGACGGACGGTGTAGGGGGTGAGCTGGAACCGGAGCCCGCCACCGGATTGTTCTTCGGCGGCTTGCAGCGCTTGCAGACACGCTTCGTCGTCGCTGCTGTTGCTGGTGGTGGTCGGCAGGCGTTCGTCGCACTGCAACTGGCGTCGACTGTTCCATTCGTTGCTGTCCGGGGTCGACTCGCTGGAGGTGCCCTGAAGGTTTGAGAAAAAACAAACCGAGTCAAGTTAGTCCCGAGAAAAAGACAATGCATCAGTGGATGGAACGACGGAGGGAAAAGTGGGAAGTAACCATGAGATAGAAGGGTACGAAGTGAAAAGAGAGGAACTGGTGTGAAGGGACAAAAAAAGGGAGGGAGTGAGGGGGAGCAAGATGGAGGAAGGTGAATGGGGTGGGGAAACAGGACGCAGACTTCCCATGGAGAGGAAAAGAGGGGGAAGAGAATACCAAGGAGGGCTGAAGAGTGACTTGGCACAACAGTACAACTGGGGTCAAACCAGGAATGACTGAGATGCCAATTGCGCCAAAAGAAGATACTCCAGCTGGTAGACCAGCTCACCCAAGAGCCTTCGGTTGACAAGCCCCTAGGTCCTGACACGCAGAACACACCACCAAGACCCTTGTGGCAGTCAGGGTCCTTTCCCCAGGAACCTAGTGCAGGTGATGATGGAGGGACGACCAGCCAGGAACATGCATAGTCCAGCAGCATACACACCTACGTCGCTCATGCCAGTCAATTCCCAGAGATAAAACACCCCAAGGAAGTTAGGAGAAACCCACCTTGAACACGAGTGTACGCCGAGGTGCTAGATAAGCCTCGACAAAACCAATGGTAGCTCTCCAGCCTCTCAAGTTAACTAGGGACCGCTTACCAAGTCCCAGTGAACCTAACCTGATATCACCGCCAAAGAGTGGACTGAGTCGGCTGCCACACCCAACAGAAAAAGTGCCCACATACCATGCCAAAGAAGCAGAGGGTTCCCCATCGATCAACTCAACAGACGAAACCAGCGTCATGAAGAGAGCGGAACAGGGATGCCTCGAACGGGGAAGTCCAAACCAGTCCATGAACTCCAAGCCAAATGCTGCTGATGATAAAAAAGGAGATCGTCCATCTCAGAGCTTGATGGCTCGTCGGGGCTCTCATGCAACAGCAACCCACGGCCTGAAACTCGGGCGCAGTTGGTCCCGGCAGACCAACGGTGAAGAATCAGATCCAACCCAGCAGAGACCATCGTCGACCAATAGCTTCCATCGTCCACGAACACACGAAGTAGAATCAACTCAAACCTGTACCTACAAAAGTAGACAAAAGACAGGTAGGCACGACGGGAATCCCATGTTGTTCCATACCACACAAGGGGGTGGTTTCGTGCAGGGGTCTTCTTGCAAAGCCCAGGAAAATCTCCTGAATCCCATCCTCCAAGAAAACACGCCCGATATCGAACAAACCAATGGAGCTCTGGACAGTCCAATGGACCTCGACGAACTTCCACGAATCCAAACACCTTTAACTGGAATGAATCAGGAACCCTGTGACAGTGAAAACGATTCATCGACTCCCTGTCCTAGTGACGAAAGACTGGCTTGGGTCAGTGACGGAAGACTGGCTTGGGTCAGTGAATCTGCAGAACAAGCAGTCAACACACCAAACGATGAAGAGAGGCTGGAACAGATGTCCCACCCAAAAAAACAAGGTGATGGAACGGATGACGCCCCTCGAAAGGTGGAAATGGACTTGCTTGGGTCTGCACGAAAGGCTATGGAAAGGTCTTGCTTGTTGTCGTGGAGGGGTGTCCAAATACCACAGTGTACCCCCGAACACAACGCGTTCGACTCGTCAGGCTTTCTCTGTTTGGGTGGCTGAGGTGACCCGCCACTTCCATTTCTTCCCCAGGCAAACCAAGGGCAAGCCATGGAAACATCGTCTGCGAGAGCGCACAAACAGTCCACTGCGCAGGCAACCATTCAACAAGCACCCCAAGCCGATGTTTCGCGCAAGACACGAGTTCGTCACGTGCTCGAGGACTCATCAGGGATGGATACAGACGGCCATGAGAACTGGTTTGCTCCAAATCAATTCACCAAAGAAGCCAATCAACAGGGTGTGTCCTTGTGAGGAAAGCACAGACGAACCCACACAGGTAGAAACCAGCACAACAGAACAAGGCACACTGCGATGGGACTGCACACGACACCCGAGACAGGATGGCAATGTCAAATCCACTTGGCCAGGCTGTGAGGTAAAGCCAGTTGGGGACCTGTCACTGTTGCAATACCACTCCCACAATTCACACACGCATCCTCGGCAGGATGTTGTCATCGCCGACGACAGATGGTTCCTCTGTGGTGGTGATCCACCCCGAGGTCTGTCAGACGAAACCACTTCTCTAGGCCAATGGGTACAGCGATGAAAAGGAAGGAAGCCAACTCCAGGCCATCAAACCCTCGCAGCTTGACGACTTCTGCTCGGCGAACAACGGTCTACAAGAGGTTCGCAAGGGTGTGGACGAACAGGGAGAACTGCAATGAGGAACGCTCCAAGCTATCCAACAGCATCTCAAACCGATCCCAAGGGATTGTATTTCACCGTCGGTAGCTTTTTCAGGTGGCCCTGTTACCAGATCCAAGCGTACACTAGTGCATGTCTGGAGTAACTATGCTTGTCAGGTGGCTCTGTTCTTCCCCGGCGTCAGAACGGCATGTCAGGTGGGCCTGTAAACCTCGTTCTTCCCCGGCCTCAGAAAATGCACCCCTCGGCAACAGGGACACGTGAACCAACAGGCTGCGTCATTTCAAAGGCCACCAAAGAGGCCTGCCTAGGTGGTCTTGCTGTCACTGGATTGAACAAGGAATGCACCCTACTACCTCGATAAGGTCAGAGTCCGAGAGGGAGCTGTTGGACCTTCATTTTCACAGACGGCCAATTCCAGAGTTCCAGGGAATGGGCACGGCCAATTCCTCTTCCCAATCGTCGGCCGGTAACGGCAACGAGATGGGTGTCTTGGGCGGGATTTTCGGCTTGGGTGGGAGTTTCGGCTTGCCTTTGGGTGTGACCTTGGGTTGGGGCGTGCTGCTTTTTATAAGCGTTTTCAAGAAGGTCTCCATTGGTCCTTGGGCAAACTCGTCGTCGTCGTCGGCCCCCGCCGCCGTGCCTCCGGCCCCCGGCAACGACATGACTCGCACGCGTTTGGTGGCTCGACGCACCTCGGGTCCCAGGGCCTTGACGCGGATCTTCTTGGTGGCCGGCGGAATCTCGGGGGAGGCCAGCAAGACGTGTTGTTTGGCCGCCAACCGCATGGGTGAACCGCGAATTCTCCATCAACGTGCCTTTGTATTGTTCCACCAATCGCTCCATGTCCGCCGGGGACACCAGGTACTTTTTCTGGTACGGCCCGTGACTCATCCTGACAGGCAATGACGATACACGCGATCCAAGGCGTGCCACACTCCCGCCCCAGTTTGAGCCATCATGACCTGCCGTCGCCGTTTTATGGAATGCTTGCGACGCGCCATCTCGCGCAAGGCGCGCTTGTGCGGACGCAATGGATCCAAGAGTCGAGGCGGGACGGTCATATGCCCTTTCAAGGTGTTCATCACCAACTCACTGATGGCATTGACTTGATCGGCATTGGCGTGTTGCAATCGTTCCCGTCTCACGTGCTGGTCGGCTTCGCGCAACACGCTCCGTAAAAACGGCAATTGTCGTTGTAGGCGTCGCACCATGGTGTCCTCCTACGGTCGACGGACCAGGGGGTCTTTATAGGTTACTTGACCCCGGCCATCTTCATTCATCGGTTGCGCATGTTGCGAACCAGGCGCTGGTTCGCCTGCGCCTGCGCCCAAGAGATTTTCCCCACGCGTTTCTTGCGCGTCGCGGCATCCAAGCCTTCCTTGACCCCGTACCCCGCGGCGCCACTCACCGCCCCGGCCGCAATGGCCTTGCCGGCGGCGAGGGCCAGAGGCACGAGAAAGGGTAAAATGCCCCCTCGTTGTCGTCGTCGTCGTCGTCGTCGTCGTCTCCGACCGCGTCGGACCATGTTGCCAATGGAACGGGATCGGGCACGGACTCTGTTTTTATAGGCTCTCTCATCGTCCTCCTCGACGGTCGAGGGCTTTCTTCACACCATACCCCACGCCACCACTAATGGCACCCGCCGCCGCGGCCTTGGCGGCTAAGAGGCCTAGAGGAATGAGAAAGGGTAAAATCCCTCCTCGTTGGTAGTGGCGCCGTCGTCGTCGGCGTCGAACCATGATGCCCTATGATAGGGTCCGACACGGACTCTATGTTTTTATAGCGTCACATGATGGGGCAGTTGAACGATTCTCCCGCGTACTTTTTGCGCTTGCCACTCGCCACCTCGGCTCTTCGTTTTCGACTGATCTTCTCGGCGTTTTTTTGTTGTTGCTCCCCAATGGCTTTGGTGGTCTTATGCGCCGTCTTGAAAATCCCCGTGATGAGGGCCGACGTCACGCCGCCTCGTTGCGATCGTCGTCGACGGGGGCGTCTTTTCCGTCGTGGCATCTGGACGTTTGATCGTCCCAGGGCGTCTCCGTGCCTTTTTAAACCGTGTTGGGGGTGGACAAACGCGAGGACGTGCGATAGACTTCGGGTTCTCCTCCATCCTTGTAGACCGTCGTGACGGTATTGGTATGCGTGATGCCGGCAATGCGGCGCCCCACGGAGCGTTGACGGGCATCTTCGGCCAACAGATCCATCTGACGCCGAAATTCGTCTCTATTCATGCGCGCTCGTCGAGGGGGGGTGCCGCGGCCACGACCACGCCCACGCCCACGGCCACGACGTCCCCCTCCACCACCGCCGCCGCCCCCGCCACCAGGTGGGCTTCCATCGTCGTCGTCCCCACTACCCCCTCCGGGTGGCACCCCGCCGCGTCCTCGGCCTCGGGGTCGACCGCGCCCTCGCGGCGCCGGGGGTGGTGAAGGGGTCCGGGGTGTCGGGGGACGGTTGACGATATAATTGGCCAATTGATCCTTGTAGAGACCCACGGACTTCAACAGACCATCGATCTGCCCGGGCAGAAAATTACCTCGGGCAATCCGTTCCATGACGTCGATTTGTCGGGGACTTAACGCGGGCGACGGTGGACGTTGGGCGATATAATCGGTCAATTGGTTAAAGTCGAGCCCAACCGAGTTCAACAGGGCATCGATTTGATCTTCGGGCACGGCGTTTCGAAGAATCCGTTCCATGACGTCGATTTGTCGGGGACTAAACGTGGGCGACGGCAGGTCGTGGGCCGCGGTCCGGATGGTAACACGCTGGGCACGCCCGAACTCGGCGACGACACATTGGGCGCGACGCCTACCCCGGCCGACGGGGCCGTGGGTATGCCCGATAGGTCCATGGCCCGCTGCAAGGCATCCCGCACCGCATTCGGCGTGACCAGGGGAGACCGTCTGACGCCCACCGACAAGGGCGTGGTGTGCCCTTCCAGGCGTTCCGATAAGTCCCATTGCAGGCCTGCCTGGCGTCGCCGCTGTTGTTGCGCCTGTTCTCCAGCCAGTTCATTCTCCCATGTCAATTGGTCGAAATCCAGATCGTCCCGAAACTCGTCCGACGAGGGGGTGGTCCGTCGACTCATGCTTGGCGTTCATAGGTCTCCGTCGGTCCTTCCTCCGGTAATACGCTGGTGAAGAGACGGTACCGATCGTCTGACGCGGGATGCAGGTCCAGCATTAAATAGGCAAACGTGCGTTGGGTGCATTCGCGAAAGATGTTCATCACGTGTGACCAGTCGTTGGGAAAGGCTTGCTGGGTCAACGTGCGCATGCCTACTTGATCCCGCGGGTTCTTGAAGGCCACGATGTAATGCGCGTTGCGCGAAATGGTCTTGGCGAATTTCCCGGGCGGGAAGAGATCGTGGCACAAGAACAGGACGCTAATGTTCCGATGATGCGAGTGCTTGAAAAAGAGATCCAACACGCGTTTGTCGTTGGCGCCTTCGTCCATGAGATCGTTCAACACCAAGAGTCCCCGTTGCGTGGGACCGAACCATTGGTCCAACTCCTCCGACGTGGGCAGTCCTTCGTGAAACCGCACCTTTTCTTGCTTCATCTCGTCAAAGGCCGGTTGCCAGGCTCCGTAACAATAATGTTTCACCCGAGGAGGGGGGTGCATCAGTTCGTCGGCGTGACGTAACAACCCGCGCGTCCACGTCGATTTCCCGCACCCCGACGGGCCGCCCACCAGCGTGCTGCAGGGATGACGAATCATGGCGTCACCATGGCGTACAATCGCGGCGAGGCCTCTTTTATCAGGGTCCGCGTTGTCTCGACCACGGCGGTCTCTGGGCACGCGTTCAAGGCCCGGGCCAACCCCCGCCAATTGCTGGCCCACGCCAATCGACGGAAGGTTCGATAGTGTCCATAATCCCAGGTGTCGCACAACGTGTCCACGGGGTTCAACAGAATTTCCATCAACAGACGTTCGTCCAAGGCTTCCAGGACGCGTCGCTTATCTTGTTGCGTAATCATTTTTCTCACCAAAACAGTACGTCGCCGCGAGCGCACCGGTTTTATGGAGCGCCCGCGACGACGTGACGTGGACCCTATCGGACTCGAACCGATGACCCGCGGCTTGAAAAGCCGCCGCTCTTCCCACTGAGCTAAGGACCCCTTGGTTGAGTACGGGGCACCCCCGCGGCCAGACTCGGTCAACCTGTCCCAGGGTAGCATTATTGGTTGGGACCACCGGACGTGCCCACCACCGGCCGGGAGAGAACCCTTGGGGATCGGACCGACCGCTCGCGCGGAGGTCCCCCGCACCCAAGCCCTTCCTGGCACCCGTCCCCTTTATATGTTCGTCCCTGGTCGTCGTCTCCCCCTTGTGGGACTTCCAAAAAAACGACACACGTTTTTTCCTTTAAGACTGGTTTAATGCAGGAAATAAACAACGTCGAGAGACACAGCGTTGAGCGTCCGGTCGTCCATCGGGTTCGTCTATGGCAGCTTCGTCCAGTTTGGCCTGGATCTGTGCACGGACGCGTTCCCCCACGCGATGATCGTTCCACACGTAATCGCCGTCTCGAAAACTTTCCACAACCTCCAGCAGGGTCCGTCGACGCACGTGGTCTTGCAGGTAGGCAAAGGCATAGTGGCCACAGGCCCAGCTGTCGTAGGCCTGCAGGGTCCTGTCGGTACGCACCACGTACTTCCAATGCTGCGCGATCCACTCGTGCAATCCCGGGGCGTCGTAGACGGTCAACGGCAACCCGTAATTGTCCATCACTTCGCACACCCCCTCTTACGTCCAGAGGCCCAACCAATGCTGGCCCGGTTCGCCGGCCGGGTCCGTGTTGACGATGTAGGCGCCTCGGGTGGTCTTGGGCGGGTGCTCGGGCAATCGATCGGAGAGATAGACGCCTTGGAACACGCGCTTCAACTCGGGGTCGGAGAGCGCCAAGGCTCTCAATTGACGATCGCTCAACGCCACCAGCTCCATCGTCCAATGAAGCCCTGGGTCCCTTTACACGCTGTTATCATACGTCACGGCGCCCAGGTGATCGATGTAGATGACGCTTTCAAATTCTCCTCACACCAGGATGGTGATGTTGGCGTTCAGGGCCGCTCTGAACTTGATCTCCAGACGCACGTTGCCGGTCTGCTTGCGATTGAGTTTGGGACCATCGGCGTCCCCGCTGGACACGTTGTTCCACATGAACAGGGTGCAATTCTTGTTGTGACCCCAATCGCCCGGTTTGACCATGAACTCGCGATGTTTGGGTACGGCCCCGGCCGCGTCCAAGAAGCGACGATAGCCTTCCAAATCTTTCAGCGTATCATTCCCGGCGAATTCCAGGGTGACGTACGGGTACTCTTCCCCCTCGATAAACTGTCGAATGGACGTCACCCCTTTGCTCTGGAAGGCAAACGGGTACTTTTCCTTGGCCCCATTGAAGGCGGTACTGTCCAAGATCCCCACGATCATGCGCTGGGGCACTCTGTTCAAGAACAGGTTATCTGGCGTCCACACGGTGGTGGCCCCGTTGAACGTGAACGAGCGAATCTGATCCCTCACCACCGGGTACTTGACCACCTCCTTTCGGAACTTGCGTTCCCCTTCCAGGGACGAGTAGATATCCGGGTTGAGACTCAGTCGGCACAAATGCAAGGTGATGTCCACATCTTGTTCTCGCAACCGGACGTAGGCCTTGGTGCCGTCGTTGAGAGACGCCCACGTGTAGAAATCGGGACTGTTGAAGTGCAACTCAAAATTCATTTCCACCCCGGGCACCATGATCTTGCCCGTGTGGAACACGGGTAGGTACGGCCGCATGATCAAACGGACCACGTTGTTGCCCCGGAAAGGGACGGTGAGGGTCTTGAGCAGGTGAGACTCGTTGTGACGGGAACCTACGAGCGTTCTAATGTCGTCCGCACCACTGGTCAACGTGGGCCACACGTTCAAGAAATTGACCCAGCCTTGAGGGGCCAACAACGTCTCTCCATCGTCCTGGCTGTAGTTGAGCAGGGTCTGTAGATAGGCCGAGTAGGCATAGGTGTCGGTCTGTTCGGTCATCAGGGTGCCATTGAACCGCACGTTGATCTGCTTGAAGATGGTGTGGGCCAGGTTGTTGACGGGGTACGTGAACTTGGTGTTGTTAGCATCCGACGCCGAATTGGCATCGGCCACGATGCCGTTCTGGCCCGACGTGGACAATCGCAAGTCGATGACAAAATAACTGCGATTCAAATACACGTAA